TATCATTTGGAAACAGTTCTGCAACGATTTCCGTTATTTTAAGCTCCTAAGAACATTTAGATACTTCAAGTGTTTCGAACACCACTACTGTGATGAAGTGATACACTTTTTACGGCAATATGGAATTATGTAGATGAAAAAGGCTCATAATAAAAAAGAATGGAAAAACTGTCAGCTATATTAATGGCAAGAGAAACGAAGATGAAACAACAACCGGTCCACCTATCTAAGAAAACTATTTCAAGCACTTCGAATATCGAAGTTGTCCTGGAAATGCAAGATGAAGGATCGTTCATGTCAATGGTGCTGCAGAAATAGTAGTTCAGGGATTTCAAATTTTGCTGAAGTTCTTTTCATCAGCTGTTGCCATCTCAATTCATTATGGGCTTGCATCGTTTTTTAGAAGCTGAACCTTTTTGCAAGGCATTCACGTGGTCTTGGAGTTTTTACATCTGACATTTCGCTTTGGTCTTAAGTATTCTTCAGGAAGTAATTCGATATTTCGCCATCTCGCACACCCTTCACTTTTTTTTTTCGTTCAGTTAGATGTGATGTCATCTCATTATTTGTAGCAGATATCCAGAACAACATTCAACGCCGCAGGGTCCGACTGATGATTAATGCTGATCTACTGGCTTAGTGTTTTCGTGCATTCTGACACGCAACACACTTTTTCTAACAACCCAATGCGTCACTGAAACTTTTCTAGGAGAAAAAAGCATTCAGGTATCTTCACGTTAACAGAACTCTGGGACTCAGTAAAGCTTCTACTTCCGCCTCAGTAGCGATGCACCCTTAGGTGAAATTAATTAAACTGTTGTTTCGGCACATTATTGTTACATGTTAAGGTGTATACTGATGTAATTTGCTAAGACCAGCATCGTAGCTAAATAAAATATGTTTTAATAAAAGCAAAGCCCCTGTACCTATCAGGAGATAAGGTCGAAGATTATGATACAAAACCTTGAGATTTTTAGATTATTTTGTTACAGAGGCAAAACCTGACTTTATACATTTGTGTCGGAGCAAATCGACAGTCAAAATTTTAGTGAATTTCATATGCTGAGACTGGCGAAAAGGTCATGACAAAATTTAGAACCTGCATCTGATGATAATGCATGTTGGTGCCTAGAAGAGCATACGCATGAATGTGCGACCGCAAATTCATCCTCATTTAAATTATACAAGAGCTGAAAAAATGGGTTGGATTTGTTATGTTCTCTGATCCGTGAGCAAGCAAATTTGCAGTGGGAAATGGTGCTTCGCACTTCTGCAAAAACACAAATATGAAATTTCATTCATAAAAATTTGTATTTCCAATTGAATACAGGCAGAATTAAACTGCATACAGGCTGGAACACACTAAGTTGCCGGTGCCATCATGCGTTTTTGCATTAAACTTGAAGCAGTCAGGTCGTTAACTACGTAAATGGTTCTTGCTTTAGACATATCTTGTACGTTCACTAGCGCAAATCATAAATTTTGCATGAAAGAATGTGAACAATTCTGTCGAACAACCTTTCCTTGAAAATGAACTAAGTGTTCAATGAGTGATTTTGCTGCCAAAACTTTTGATTTCCCGTAGATGAGTAACACGCATAGCTGGGGTCTGAATTTAAAATTTCGGAGTTGTGCTTGAGCAGAGAACATCCCGTTAAAGTTCCAGCTTTTTTGATTCCTGAGTTAGTTATTTTCCCGCCAAATCTTTCACGTACTCGTACATGGAGCTCAAAAATGTCTGGAGGTTGACACGCAGCCCTGGGATTGAAATTAACTAGGGACGCCTTATTGAACTTAGCCAGGAACTTATTGAACTTGATACACCGGAACATGCTTGATTGCCCAATTGAAATACCCGGACAGACACAAATACACACACACGCATGCCATGAAACTCAAAACGCATTTCATTGTTGTCATAAAACGCATTTTTATGCGTTTCTGCTGTGCAGCGCTATAGCAGCCAGCAAAAACGCACATTGTCGAGAGGCCGTCTGTGTATTTGTGTGTGTTCGGAAACGAGCGCACTTTGTCACCCACTTTCATTTCTGCAACCAGGAAAGCAGGGAGGCTGAAAATACGGGTATGTTTTCTTACCCCGTGTGTCACCCTACCGTTTTAAGATCTTCCCCCACACGCGCCAAGGCCTCGCGTACGGATGTCCCAAAAAATACGCAAGTTTTCTTTGGCGGGAAGCGATTTCGCGAACCGGGCAACGTAGAAAGCTGAAACTCTGCAGGCGTATTCTCTGTGTATGGCGAGCTAAAAATTTCAAATTTAGCTGCCGCGCACGCTTGCGCAGCGTGTAGGGCCGCTTCAG